TTCTATGCAAAATCATTTGTTTGTATTGTAAATGATGAATCGCTCTGACTGCAGTTGACAGCAAAATCATTCCAATACCCTGTCAAACAAGTTTGCGTTTGTAAAATACCATTTCTTATTTATTACAGCTACTGTTTGATCTTAATCAAATTGTAACATCAATTATATAAATAATGAGCATTTCATTACAAATCTAGACAAAATCACCAGTATGAAGAGTAATGTATTTTGGTAAAATCTGCCTTACTTCACATGTATATTTAATGATTTGTCTTTGTCTGATTTCTTGCAACAGACTGACGAAAAAAGTCAATGTGCGCAGAGAAATCCTAGACGTAAATTGTTCAATATCTTTAGCCAATTTATTAAATCTAAACGTGATTTATGTCGTTATACTTTAAAGTACACATGGAAATATCAAGGTAAACTAGAAATATTTCCAAACAATTGTATCAGAGTTTTTAACATACTATAGTTAATGATAAATAATTCAGATTATTACTAGTATAATAATATGTTTAAGATAATATCATCGATTCACATTTATGTGAAAATACGTTTCTTATCCAATCAGAAAGTAAAAATCTAAATTTATTCTAATATGTGCATAGGTGAAAATGAAATAAACTGTCCTAATTCTGAAATCTGAAGCAGACATCAACTTTCAATCTAATCTGAGACTAAATTTGTTGGTAAGATAGTAATAATTACTAAATTTGCCGCTGAAATATGAAACCGATTTTATAACTTACTCTACCTTCATATTTGAGTAAATTTAATTTAAATCATGCCTTTTGAAAAGTCTTTGATGTACATATAACACTTGATATTTTGAATTCAAACCTTTTAATCGTTTAAGTATCCAGTTAGTACTCATCTTGGCCTTCCACAGACTATTACAGTCTAGCAATTATCATAAACAATTGCCTACATAATAGTATTTGATTTGAATGAAATTCACATACTTTATAATAATTGTAGCATTGTTGCACCTGTCAATAAAGTAAATAACATGTCTGGTGAGCTTATACATATATTTCAAACATTCCATGACAGGTCTTATGTTGATTATTTAAGTATACATGCAACTTCTGAAATTCAGTGGAAGCATACTGGAGAATGAAATGAAATATTCTTTGACATTTTTGAATCTGATTCATTTGCACCTATTTGTATGATATAGAACCGTTTAAGTTATAGCAGTATTGAGTGCATCTGTATAAATGAGTATAAGAATTGCTGTAGAAAACAATAATACCAATGTATGCATTTCGACTAAGTATACATTCTAAAGGTCGTTTAAAGAAAAAAATCAAAAGTTTATTTCAGGAATTTTTTAAGAAGCCGCTTTAAAGCCGAAAAATTAAGGCTAAACTGAATGTCAAATTTTACACAAAATTTACAGTTTTCTTTCCATTTTTCAAACATTTTTCGGCGTAAAACGATAAATTTTATATCAGCTTAAAGAGAAAAACAATTTCCGTTAGATGCTGTAGGAATTTAGATATTTTGTTCGCCAATCGCGTTGTGATACCCGTAATAGTTGCCAAGGATATGCAACGACGTCTTGTTCAAAAACGGGCTTTGATGGTCAACTTTAACGTCGTGTGTACAAAAATTGGCTGAAACTATTGGAATAAAATCAACGGAATCAAATCAGAAATATGGTCAACTTAATGCATGCCAAGTTTCAAGACGCTACTCGAAAGTTCGCAGTGTCACGTTCTACCTTAATTGCAGAATAGAAAGATTATGCGTGCATGATTTCTTTTATCTCACATAATAAGCATTATCCGTGTTAATGTGATAATGCAGTTTATCTAGACAATTCTTTCATTATAAGGGAGATAAGTCGTAAGGTCTTATTACACGCAGCTCAGATTATGTTCCCCCTTTAGTTGAAAGGTCGCAGTTAATGCTAGCGCTTACGTCATCAGTCGTCTACGTCATATATTCCGGACTTTAGTTGAAAGGTCACAGTTAATGCTAGCGCTTACGTCATCAGTCGTCTACGTCATATATTCCGGAGCACATGGTCCAGTCTCTTTTTTATGTGAATCGAAGTTGAATCGTATCCAAAAAGGAGGAATATTTACCAAACAACAGCTTTATCAGATAAGTTAATTTGTCACAATTATTAAATAGTTGAATTTCATGTACAAAATTGATATTTGATTTATAATATCCGGATAAATATAGTATAGTAAATAAATTATATAATCATACCACGAGGTGTGGCCGTGGGAGACGGTGACATCGGATAGACCAGTAACTGTATAAAGTGAAACAAAGTTCTACTCTTTATATCAGTGAATTTATCATTAAACACTGTTTTCACTATTAAATTATATTTCCTAGGATGCCTAAGGCAAAGGCGAAAATCTAACAGACAGGGAAACCCCGTTTCGTTTCCACGCCATTCCTCAAGGTCATTGGCAAGAGGTCAATCGGCGCGGCCAAGAAAACAAACTTGCAAAGCAACACCAACAGCTGAACAAAATGTGGCTGTCAATGTGGAAGCACATGTTCCTACCGATACTGAGCATGGTGATGGCAATTTACCCACAGGCTGTCAGGTAGCTGGCAACCCGCTCCTGAGCTTCAGCAAGAGCATCACGTGATTGGGTTTCCAATGGTTTCTCAAAGGCTGTCTCCTTCTGAAACCTCCAATATCCAAGGTGAGTGTGACCCTATTTTGGTAATACCTACTCATGACCTGGATATTCATATTTCAGATGCGTTACAGGAAAAATATGGAATAATCAGTATGTCGATCTTGCACAATTGTTGCACAAAAATTTCCATATGCCCAGTTCACAAGATGACATGCAAATTTCTTTCTCATAAATAATAAGTTTGTATTGAAATCTAATAAAAACTAAAACAAATTGATAATATTGATTCTTGGACTGATGCTTTTGTAAACTTCATTTTAGTTTACATTAAAAAACACCCATTAAGAGCAGCGCGAACTTTTGAAATACATGGCAATTGTTCGAGGTGCTTCCGCATCTAATAAATTCCAGAAGTGTTACCAATATGATATTCAATTTCGCCTTCGCATGTCTATTAACTCTAGTCGTCTGTGGTCCAATATTGATGGTCATTTGTGGCTTACATGCGGATTGCTAGGCGATAACCCTTCCACTAGTGACGAGGTTAACAGAAATGCCTCTGCAGGTGCTTGTTATGATTACAATTTCAAAGGCGGATGTTATAAGATGTTTTGTCAGTATAGGCACACCTGTATTGTATGCAAATTACCTCATCCATCCAATACTTGTGTAAACGCTCAGAAGTCGATGAGATTTAATAGCAGTGCGTCAGGGGCACAATTTGTTCCTCGACCGCGCTTTGTTCCGCTTGGCAGCACAAATGTGCCGCCTAGCGGAACAAATAATGTGTTTCAAACCCGGCATGTAAATACATTCCAAAGGCCTAGGGGTTTTAGACCAATTTCCCCGTCATATTCTCAGTCTGCCTTTCGACCCCAATTTATGGGCCAAAGGTAAAACGCCAATAATAATGGATAAAATTTCACCATTTCTCGAAAAATATACAAACGCAAATGATGCAAAATTTCTAATTCACGGTTTTCAGCATGGTTTCCCTCTTGGTTATGCAGGTCCAAGAATTTATAGGGACAGCAAAAATTTAAAGTCAGTCATTGATAATATTGACATTGCAAAACAAAAAATTTATGACGAGATAGATGCTGGGGCGTATGTCGGGCCCCTACGCCACAAGACCTATATCAAATCTTAGATGTTCCCCGATCGGGCTAGTTTCCAAGAAATCCGGCGGATTTAGGTTAATTACACACATGTCACATCCCGCAAGCGATAGTGTTAATGATTATATTGACCCAATGTTAACATCTGTCAAATATTCGGATTTTGATTAATGCTGTAAAAATGATAAAAAGGCTAGGTAAAGGTACATTAATGGGAAAAATGGATTTGAAAAATGCTTTCAGAATTTTACCATGCTATCCTGGAGATTTTGACCTGTTAGGAATCATGCTGGATGGTCAATATTATATTGACAAATGCATGCCAATGGGCTGTTCTATTAGCTGTTCTACTTTCGAAAAATTTTCATCTTTTCTAAATTGGGAAATCAAACGCCGAAGTGGTTACAATGATATAGATCATTATCTTGATGATTTTATTTTCATGTCTGTTGCAAATTCTGATATATGTAAATTGAGCATGTTACAGTTCGAAGCAATGTGTACTGAATTTGGTGTACCAATCGCTTGTGATAAAACTGTCGGCCCCGTGACATGCTTACTTTACCTTGGTTTTAGAGCTTGATTCAATTTCAATGGAAATACGCGTACCTCGGGACAAAGTTTTTAAATTTATTACATCAAATTAATGATGCATTGTTATTACGAAAAATAACGTTGCAACAATTACAATCATTGACTGGTTCATTGGCCTTTTGCGCAAAAGCAATGCCCTCAGCACGTGCATTTATCCGCCGGCTTTACTCAGCTATGTCGCAAGCAAAAAAGCCGTACCACAAAATCCGCTTGTCAAATGGTCTAAAAGCGATTTAAATATGTGGAAAACTTTCTTGACTAATTATAATGGCACTTCGGTAATGTTAGACACTGAATGGAAATCGAATTCAGATATACAGTTGTTTACTGACAGCGCAGGGCAGTCAAATTTGGGCTGTGGTATTTATTTTAATGGTCGTTGGGCTTTTATGCAATGGCCTCAACAATGGAAAGATACAGATATTCTTAAAGATATTACCTTTTTGGAAATAATACCAATAGCATTGGCTTGTTTTTTATGGTCCGAACATTTTCGATCTATGCGTATTCAGTTTAGCTGCGACAATATGGCAGTAGTACATATACTTAATTCAAAATCTTCGAAATCTAATAGAGTAATGGCACTTGTTAGACAAATAGTGTTATGGTCTCTGAAATTTGATTTCCAATTAAATGCAGTACATATCAGTGGTGTAAACAATAACATTGTTGATTCAATTTCACGAATGCAGTGGAAGACGTTCCGAATGTTAGCACCGGAAGCGGAAGTTCACCCAACACCAATCCCGAGGGACTTCATGACGTACTTGCCGATGAAATAGCAGTTCTACTAAATTCCTCGGTTTCGGAAAAAACGAAACAAATTTATAACCAAGCTATAAATGCATTCAAGAACTTTCGCTGTTTGCATGAACTACCGGGTGTGTGGCCCCCGCCGGTGGATCATATGGTTAATTTTATAGGTTATCTCTCACTCAAAAAGTTCGCATTTGCTACAGTTAACTCCTATTTATCCGGCATTTCGTTTTTCTTAAAGATGAATGGTATACCGGATAATACACAATCATTTATAGTAAAAAAGATGTTATGTGGAATGCGACGCATCCGATCAAAAAAGGATTTGCGTGTTCCAATAACGCTACAGGTGCTTCTTCGCTTCCCAATGGCTTCTAACAGTTGTCATGGTTACAAAAGGTTAAATAAGTAAAACACTAAAATGATCATGTAGAAACATATAAAAGTAAACCCAATGACCATAACAAAAGTACTCAATGTCCTAAAGGAAGACAGAGCAACAAGAAAATCACCTACAAGGGCCCGACGAAGCAAGGCAGAAGACGAACATTAAGACAATTCAGTCCCAAAGGGCTTTACGAACTATCCATCATAGAGTCTCCCACTTGGTCCGTCAGATGCAATTTCACTTGGCGGGGATTCATTTTATTTACACTGTCTCGTTTATAGGAACATGGTGGGGCTAAGAGCGAGGTTTGGTGCACCATTAACCGGTTTAAACTCCCCAGCAGTCATTATTATGCTGCTGACCGTTCCAAGGCGGCGCCCCACTGTGTTCCTCAGATGTATGTCTATGTTGTTTCATACTGTTTTGGTGACACTTTTGCTTGTGTCCCTTGTTGTTTTCTCGTCTACGGTAAGTATCTTCCCCATTGCCTCTAGTTTTTATTTCTTTGATTAACCCCCCCCCCCCCTTCCCCGGTCTCCTGTCCCTTTCCCCTTTGTGGGCCTATTATTATTTTCTTTGAATTCCTAATCAGTTACAAATTATTTATCATTTAATGATTAACGTGTCGTTGCCCTGTCCTTTTTATGTTTGGGGTCCGCCTGGGCTCCTTGCCATTGGTTCTTGTTGCTGGGTCATATGGGGGTTGCGTTCATTGAACGCCGCCTTTCTTTGTTGATCTTGTTTTTCATATTTTACAGAAAGTTGCATATTCAAACTATGAATCAATATTGTACATAACGGCCTTTGTTTGTGCATTTTTTGGTTTTCTGCGGGTAGGCGAAATAGCCGTTGACACAAAGAAATCAGACACCAATAGAGTCGTTCAGTTAGGAGACCTTAGATTTTCGGAGAACGAATGTTTTTTAACAATAAGATTTTCCAAAACCGATCAGTTTGGGTCGTCGGTAACACTGACATTTTGTGTATCACATTACCCTGAGATATGTCCCTATATACTACTTCGCCATTACATTACTTTACGCCCTCAAATAGACGGTCCTCTATTTTGCCATTTCAGTGGGCAACCAATGACTAAATATCAGTTCCGTTTCATGCTTCGCAAATGTTTAAATTTTCCTCAACATTGACTCAATATAAAAAGCCATTCATTTCGTATTGGCGCGGCTACCACAGCTTCTCAATTAAATATCTCTGACGATATTATAATGCAAATGGGTAGGTGGTCTTCGAAATCCAGGGCTTATAAGAGATACATTAGGTTAGATAAGATAATTCCATAAAAAAATTATTTTTAGATAACGTTGGCCAGCCTTGTCAAAATATTTGGATCGTAGGGTCTTCAATCATTAAGAGAGCAGAGGCACATGCTAAAACGAGGCCGATGGGACGTCACCTTGGTCTTTCAGCGACGCGGTGTTACTGTATTTTGGGCTGGTCATCCGGGCTTACATTATAGGCAACTTTACAATATTATTTCCTCAATGTCTTTTTGTTTGCCACCACCAAGTTTTATTGTTTTACACTTTGGTGGCAATGATATAGGTCTAGAACCATGTGGTGTTTTAAGACACCATTTTAAAGAAGTTATTTCTCAGATAATGAGAATTTTGCCTAGGGCCTGTATTGTTTGTCCTCTATATTACCTCGTTTTGTCTGGAGGTACTCCGAAAATAATAAAGCTTATGGATGAAAATCGGAAAAAGAATAAATAGAGCATTGATATATTTTCTAGCCCAGCTTGGTCATAAGTGTATAAAACATCCAGATTTCAAGATAAAATGCCAGCATTATTTTCTGATGATGGTGTACATTTGTCTTATATTGAAAATGATATATTTTTAAACACAATTCAAGGGTGCTATTGAAACATTTTTGTGACTAATAATGCAAACGTATATCCAATTGACTGAATAACTAAAAAGCCTGACAGCGGCGAAAAAAATTAAATTTTTGGCGTGAGCACTGCGTACTCATTGGCAGAATTTTTCGACGCAGTGTTTTATTAACTAAAAATAATTCAATTTAAGTTAAAGAAAGATATAAAACATTGTGTTTAAATACTGTTTGTGATTGAACCCCAACAGTTAGATCTAGCAGTAAGTATCATTAATTCGGCGATTGGTCATTCAATCTGCCATTGGACTTTTGTGTACGAGTCGAACTTGAAATTGATTTGTTTGATTTATGTATGATGAACTGAATGATAAACAATGACTTGTGAATGAAAAACAGTGATAAATGATGGTTTAATATATGATTATACAATCAATAACAAAGTGGCTTGGTCTATTTCCCCAGCACTATTATTTTCCTTTGCATGTTTCAATTTTTTTCATGAATTCGATATCGTCGACTGTCAGGCAATTATTCCACTAATAAATTTTAATGATAATGTAATTTTGTTTTGATTTATTAGAATTTGTCATTGATAATAAGCATTATCCGTGTTATTGTGATAATGCAGTTTATCTAGACAATTCTTTCATTATAAGCGGAGATTAAGTCGTAAGGTCTTATTACCACGCAGCTCAGATTATGTCCCCCCTTTAGTTGAAAGGTTCGCAGTTAATGCTAGCGCTTACGTCATCAGTCGTCTACGTCATAATATTCCGGACTTTAGTTGAAAGGTCACAGTTAATGCTAGCGCTTACGGTCATCAGTCGTCTACTCATATATTCCGGAGCACATGGGTCCAGTCTCTTTTTTTATGTGAATCGAAGTTGAAACCCGCCCACCCTACCCATAGTTATCAAATAGAAAATTAAAAATTTATACAATGTATACTATATATCTGTTTCTTCTCTTGTTTCTTATTATTTGCAGTTACTTGTTGAGTGGCACCTTACGAACCAACAAATGAAAATTGTTTACTATACTCCAGTTCGTCGACAGTCGACATTTAAGAAAATGAGGATTTGTCCATGGCAGAATTTTTCGACGCAGTGTTTTATTAACTAAAAATAATTCAATTTAAGTTAAAGAAAGATATAAAACATTGTGTTAAATACTGTTTGTGATTGAAACCCCAACAGTTAGATCTAGCAGTAATCATTAATTCGGCGATTGGTCATTCAATCTGCCATTGGACTTGTTGTGTACGAGTCGAACTTGAAATTGATTTGTTGGGTTTATGTATTTAAAGAAGAAAGATAAACAATGAAATTGTGGGGAAAGAAAAAAAGTTTTAAATGTGGTTTTTTAAAAATGATTATTTTTAAAAATAACAAAGTGGCTTTGGGCTATTCCCCGCACTATTTTTTTCCTTTGCATTTTTTCAATTTTTTTTATGAATTCGATATCGTCGACTGTCAGGGGAATTATTCCCCCTAATAAAATTTTAAAGATAATTTTAAATTTTTTTTTTGATTTATTAGAATTTGGGCATTGAAAAGCCCTTTTTTATTTAAAAAAAACTGCGAAAGGGTTTTCATGGGGTACCCTAATAAAAGCTAACAAAAATTTTTTAATCGTAAATTTTTTTAATAGCTTTTTTATGATGTTTTGATTTTTTTAGCATGAAAAAAGGGGTTTAAATAAAATTTGGAAAAAGAAACATATGAAACGAATGTAAAAGAAAGTTTAATCTGATGACAGTTTTTGTTTAAATAAAAATAAATTATTAACTAATATTAAACCTCAATGCATTTCAGACACCATATTCTTAAACAGGTTTTATTATATGATAAGATAATTAAAAAATGAAAATCGTTCCCCTATTCTTTTATCTGATTTAGAAATCCTTTTATCTTAATTTCCTGTAATGTAGCAGACTTGCAATTTACATTGAATCCAATTATACGGAAAGTTTATTAACACTTAAGATGCCAATATCGTAAAAGTAAATTAATTGCTCTAATGCAGGCATTTGCCTAGCTGAAACAAACACTGTAGTTAAGTGTAAATACTAGACATATGGAGCCAAATTGTATTGCTTTAAGTATCGGAACTAACAGTGGTAAAATACAATTGTCCTCTTTTGAACACTCTTTATGAGATTATTCATATCAGGTTGTTTGATGCCTGATCAGTAGCGTACATCTTGGAAACTTTGAAAACAAACCAATATTATTACAAGATTCTCAGCGCAATGAAGTGCTTATACATTTTTTCTTTGAATGAAAACCGGTGTCTTAATTAAATACTGTAAAGCTTTTTTAACCATAGAGCAAAATTTCGAAAAAAAACATTCCAAGTGTTTCATTCCTTCAATTACTTCTTTCATTGTTTTATTTATAATAAGTATGCACAGTTATATATGAAAATATGATTGTAGTATCGTTTTAAAATAGTTATTATTTTCTCTTTGTCATGGCTTTGTATTCCAGAACGGCAAGGATGAAGATTGGAACGATTGTCTTTCCATCAGTTCCCCGATGTTTCCTAAATAAGATTATAGAACCATTTGTCAAAGGCCATCTAAATCAGTGTGACTTCTTGTAAAATTTACAGAGAGGAAATGAATAAAAGTAGATTTCTTTAATGGTCATTTTAAAATTACAAACGTAAATCTGAGAATCAAATTTGCAATCCTAAAATAAGAACAATAACATAATTTAAAAGAATCTTTCTGAAATGGTTTACGCGTCTTATGTTTAATTAATCATAAGATGTCCCGAACACGAATTTTCTACTCAACTTTTCTCAGACTTCACTTCCAAGTGTTGAGAATTGAGTACCTCTCAAGCCAGTGCTAGGGGGCGTTACTCTTTACATTATCCCACATGTACAAATTCAATCAAACCGAGTCTGCAACCTTCATGTAATTTTGTTGTTTTAATGTTTCCGAGGGATCACTTTTCCCAAATATTTATAAATCACAACAGCATGTGTCCATCCGTAAAGAGTTGCCCAATACTTCATTTTAGTGTTGGTATATTTTTCTGGTCCTTTGGGATCGTTGAGTCCAGCACTTTTAAATGTTGAGAATTAAGTACCACTCAAGCTGGTGCTAGGGGCGTGAGGGATGTTACACATTTTCATTATCCTTCATGTACAGACTCAATCAAACCGAGTCTGCAATGTTCATGCAATTTTGCTGTTTTAAATGCTTCCGACGGAACACTTTTTTATTCCACTGTCTAGTTAAGTATTTCAGATATTGAAGTTCTGTTAATCACGTTACCTCCTTAACATTTTTTTAGAGTGTTTTAAAAATGTTAAATTGAATTGTAAATTTTGTCCAAAATAACTACCAATAAAATATTACAGTCAGTGTATATTTTGTACGTGAAAGCGAATTCAATCGTTGCTTATGGATTTAATGGTAGAATTGTATCGGATTTATGGGTAAACATTATTATGGATACGTCAATATGGGTTAAAAGACAATTTTTAATAACAGTTATATATATCATTTTTAAAAGTTAAACATAAACTCATAACAAACACAAATGACCATTGCAGTACATGCATCCATCAAAACGGATTTGATGCATTAAAACTTTGGTCGAAGATTAATTGAAAAGAGTGATTAAGAACCTCTGATATATAATTTAATTTTTTTTGCCATTCAAAGCTAGATTCTGCAGTATATTTTGTTCATTGTTGAGTAGGAGATATTGCCCATACATAAAAAACACAATACAATAACTCGTAGAACAGTTTATTGGATTAACTCTACTAAGAAGAGCCCTGCATTACTGTTTGGTATCAAAACTTTGAATTTGCACAGTTATAACTGTAACAATTTCATCTTTAAACAGACATTGCCAACATAACTAAAACTTAAACTGTTTAAGTAGTCTTCACTGCACAGAGAGTGAAGTAGGTAACTGTCCTTTACTAAGAATTATTCTACGATCGAAATTGAGATCTGTATTGGTAACAGAAACATTAAATATGAGAACTAATAATGTAAGATTCAGGTCAGCTTCAGTGAGTTATTATATCATACGCAGCATGCAAACTGTCAGTCAGGTTTTATCAATACCTGTTTTACTGTGATATCAAAATAATTGTCATGTTCTTTGATCTGAAATGAGTAACTTCAAAGTGTTCTTACCCTATATCCATTTACATGTTGATGAGTCAGACTAAATAATTTTGTTTTCTTTGAACATATCAATCAAGTGATACCCTTTAAATATCGACTATTATATTATAAAGGTTTTCCCCATGGGAAAGATTCACGTTGTGACATTGCGTATTCTAAGACAAAATGAAAAAGAAATCTCACAAAATTTCTTTCCCTAATTGACAAACACTATTTGATCATTATCTAATTTCTTTGAATGTTGATCAAATGAATGACTCCTTTCAATACAAAACTTGAAGCAGTAAACAATTGCCA